GCATTGAAAGTTTGACAGTTGTTGACAGGGGGAGGGGGTAAAATATTGCTTAAAATTTTTTGACGTAGTTAATGGACGCCCCTTACGACGTTTACGAAATCAATGCGGGGGGGGGGGGAAATGTGGTTTAAAACCATTATCCTCAATTCGCTGCCTCTTTTATGATGGACTAAGAAACATTCTGATTCTGATCTTAATTGCAAAACATAAAAAAATTCAAGTTGTATATACACAATGACCCCGGGGGCGGGGGGGTACGCTGACAACTTTCGTTTGGATGTCATTAGGTTTTTTTTTTGTTTGGTTTTTTTAAATAACTCGCCACCCCAACATTGGCGAGCAGGCTATATTTATCCATCCTATCGACTGTCAGCTTGGCTTTTACCTCGCACAAATCCTATGATCCGAGCCAGAGCAATGCTATGGACTTGTACAAGTCTTAAGACTACCGTGCTGTTTGACACTGAAATGTCCACGTTATGGGGCCATCCATGTAGTACGTGCGCACTCAGGGTTGTTGATTTTGGAGATCGTTGTGTACGAGTGCGCATGGCCGGTGAGGGGGGGGGGGGCTGTCTTCGCAGAAAGTACGTACACCTATTCACAGATTCTGCAATAATTATCCAGAAACTATGACAGTCCATAAATAGCCCATTTATTCTCTAACTCTATAAAAATATCAATTAAATTATCGTTAAATACGCTGGTTTGTGTTTTCATAAGTTGACTAGCTGGATATCGCAATAGTGAAAGTTGCTTTTAGTCCACCTTTCGCCTTTGTGGGTTTCCGTGCGTGAGACGTAGTTATTTTGTTATTTTTTAGCTTTTGTTATTTTCCCTCATAACATTGTTTCTATGGCTTTGAATGAGTGTCTGATACAAATCATCACATTGTTTCTATGCCTTTGAATGAGTGTCTGATACAAATCATCACATTGTTTCTATGCCTTTGAATGAGTGTCTGATACAAATCATCACATTGTTTCTATGCCTTTGAATGAGTGTCTGATACAAATCATCACATTGTTTCTGGGGGGTTAAAAAGGCAAGGGGAAGGTAGGGATTACCGCCTTTGGTTAAGGAGAAGGCAAGGGGAGGGATTACCGCCTGTGGTAAAGGAGAATGCAAGGGGAAGGTAGGGATTACCGCCTGTGGTTAAGGAGAAGGCAAGGGTAGGGATTACCGCCTGTGGTAAAGGAGAAGGCAAGGGGAAGGTAGGGATTACCGCCTGTGGTTAAGGAGAAGGAAAGGGGAACAAAGTACGTATGTGTAAGCACCACGGTCATGAGCCAACCCAGCACGCCCCTTCCCCTTCCCCCCATAACGTAGGTAATAAGAACGATCGCTACTGCCAGGAAAATGATCTATACCTTGGTTTGCCCTGGTTCCCGCTAATGAAACCAACTAGCTGGTTAACATGGCACGAGACAACATGCAGGGCTGATACACTGGTGTTTGTCATGGCGTGTGTGATGGGGCGGGAACGTCAAGGTCACCGAGAAATAATCGCCTTTTATTTGTTGACATGTACCGTAGTGTGGCCGTTGTGTGGTAAATAAGCTATAATTATAATATTGGGTGGTGTTTATATGGTTATGTTGGTATGGTTATGTTGGTATGGTTGTGTTGGTATGGTTGTGTTGGTATGGTTATGTTGGTTTGGTTATGTTGGTATGGTTGTGTTGGTATGGTTATGTTGGTATAGTTGTGTTGGTATGGTTGTGTTGATATATGTTCATGTGCAGTTGTGTTGTGCGCCATTATCTGTTTAATCTTATGCTGATATGTCCCGGTGAAAGTTGATACCAACGTGTTGATGTCTTGGTATCTGTTGGTCAATGGATCACGCGGTATCCGTTGGTATCCATGTGTTTGTATCTATTGGTCAATTGATCAAGGGGCATGGGCGCCCGCAGAGAACTTTCTGGGGGGGGGGGGGAAAAAAAAATGGTTAAATTTTC